TTAGGGCAGAAGCAAAACAAAAGACAGGACATGACTCAGATAACAAAATGAGACAAAGAAATCCCAGAGAAATGACAGATCATTGTTCTTATACACACAGACACAAAAATCCTCCACAAAATAATAGCAAAGCAAATCCAACAATATATGAAAAGGATTATACAGATGACCAAGAGGAACCTATCCCACGAATACAAGGTTGGTTTAACAGCCCCAAATCAATTACTTTAACACAGATTATTAATAAAGAACAAAACCATATAATCATTTTAACAGACACAGAAAGTACATTTGACAACAAGCAATACTCTTTCCTAATAAAGTAAAAAAAAAAAAAGCTGAACATTTTTAAGAGTAAAAGGGAACTTTTTCAACTTGCTAATTATAGAAATCCATCTGTGAAAAAGTTACAAGGAATTTCATAATTCATAATGAAAGACCAGATGCTTTCCCCCTGAGATCAGGGACATACAAGAATACTGGTTGTCACCATTTCTTGCTTGCTTGCTTCCTTGCTTTTTGTCTGTCACAGGGCTTGAACTCAGCACCTGGATGCTGTCCCTGAGCTCTTTTGTCCAAGGCTAGCACTCTACCACTTTGAGCCACACAGGCACATCCAGTTTCCTGGTGGTTAACTGGAAGTACGAATTTTGTGGACTTTCCTGCTTTTTACTGTGATCCCCAGATCTCAGCCTCCCGAGTAGCTAGGATGACAGGTGTGAGCCACCAGCGACTGGTGGTTGCCACCTACCATGTCTACCTAACATAGGCTAAAATTCTACCCTGGAAAATTAAGACAGGAAAAAAAAAAAGACATCTAGGTTGGAAAGGAGAAAGTAAGCTATCTTTATTTACAAATAGCATGATCTTAAATACAGACAGCTATCAGGGAGGCCTCTGGGTGTGGGCTCAGTGGTACAGCACTTGCCTAACCTAGTAACGAAAAGAAAAAAAAAAAAAGCAAGCCTCCGGGCTGGGCGCTGGTGGCTCACACCTGTAATCCTAGCTACTCAGAAGGCTGAGATCTGAGGATTACAGTTCAAAGCCAGATCGGGCAGGAAAGTCCGCCCAGGGAAGTCTGTGAGACTCTTATCTCCAATAAACCACTAGAAAACCAGAAGTGCTGCTGTGGCTCAAGCAGTACAGCGCTTGCCTTGAGCTGAAGAGCTGAGGGACAGCGCCCAAGCCCAGAGTTCAAGCCCCATGACCTGACCTACCAAAAAAAACTAAAACTAAAACAAGCCTCAAGGATGCACACACACACACACACACACACACACACACACACACACACCAGCTAATAAATTCAAGGTGGTGGAATCCAAGAATATACAATACAAAACTATATTGTTTCTCATTGCTGGCAAAGGAATGGTCCAAAAGAATGAAACAGAAAGCAATGCATTTATATTAAATGCAAAAACATCAGAATGTTTAACATTGCGAACATGGCAAACTCCTCAAAGTCATTTTTGTAATTCCTGCCCCAAAAAAATCTGTTTTTTCCTTCTTTTGCCTTTTCACAAAAACCAATTAGCTGTTCCTAAAATTGAAATAGACCCAGGCGTGGTGATAAAATCCTGTAATCCCAGCACTCAGGAAGCTGAGGTAAGAGGATTGTAAATTCAAGGCCAGCCTGGACTACATAGTAAGATCTTGTTTAAATGAATGAATGAATGAATAAATGAACAAACAACAGTCAAATATAAATGCAAAGGACTCAGAAAACAAAAAATAAAATAATCATGAAGCTAGAGAACTAGCTAGAGGATTCAGAGATCCTGATCTCAAAACATACTACAAAGTTATAATATTGTAAAAAGCAATGTGGTGCCAGTATAAAGGCAGATAATGTAGATCAAGGAATGAATAAAAAAAAAAAAACCCTTTTAGCCGGGCGTTGGTGGCTCACACCTGTAATCCTAGCTACTCAGGAGGCTGAGATCTGAGGATCTCGGTTCAAAGCCAGCCAGGGCAGGAAAGTCAGGGAAACTCTAATCTCCAATGAACCACTAGAAAACCGGAAGTGGCGCTGTGGCTCAAGTGGTAGAGCACTCACCTAGAGCTGAAGAGCGCAGGGACAGTGCCCAGGCCCAGAGTTCAAGCCCCACAACCAACAACAACAACAAAAAAAACAACCCTTTCATTATTTAATTGAAGACAATTCAATGAAGAAAAAAGTATTTCAACAAATGCTCCAAATATACTGAAAATTCATGTGGGAGGAGGAGGAGAATGAAGAGAAGAAGAAAAGGAAGAAGAAGAACAACAACAACAACTTGAGCTGGGTGCTGGTGGCTCATTCCTGAAATCCTAACTACTCAGAAAGCTGAGATCTGAGGATCGCGGTTCAAAGCCAGCCTGGGCACCAACCCCAAACAATTTGGCTGGGCGCTGATGACTTATGTCTGTAATCCTATCTACTCAGGAGGCTAAGATCTGAGGATCCAAGACAGACCAGTCAGAAAAGTCATTGTGACTCTTACCTTCAACTAACCAGCAGAAAACCAGAAAAAGAGCTATGGCTTAAACAGTAGAGCACCAGCCTTAAGTGAAAAAGCATGATGTCAATGTCCTGAGTTCAAGCCCCAGTACACACACACACACACACACACACACACACACACACACACACACTCCAGAGACAACCTAAAAAATGTAGACAATCCAAGAGAACATCAACCAGTGAATGGATAAACAAAATATAGTATATTTGCACAAGGAATACTGTCCAAAGGACTAAGCTATTGATTAAAAACTCCATAGTGAATGAGCCTTGAAAACACAATGCTAAGTGAAAGAAGCTGATAGAAAAAAAACCTCAAATAGTATGATTCCACTTGATGAGATATGCAGATACACAGACCTACAGCCAGAAAATGGATGGGTGATTGAGGTGATTTTTATTTTTATTTTTGCTAGTCCTGGGGCTCAAACTCAGGGCCTGGGCACTATCCCTGAACTTCTTTTGTTCAAGGCTAGCGCTCTGTTGCTTGAGCCACAGGGCCACTTCTGGCTTTTTCTGCAGGGCTTCATGCATGCTAGGCAAGCACTCTACCACTAAGCCACATTCCCAGCCCAAGGTGAATGGTTTTATGGAGGAAAATGGGAATAACAACTAATAGGTATACAGCTTATCATAGGGGGACAAAAGTGTTCTAGAATTGTGATGGCTATGTGATCCTGTGAATAAGTTGAAACCAGACTAGTATACTTAAAGTGAATTATATGGTAAGCTGTTAAAAAATAGACATATATATATATTTTTTCCCTGTGTCTTTAGGGAGTGTAGATTGGCCTATGGAGCACATGGAGTGTCAGAAAAAAGGGGCCAAGGGATTGGTTTTCTGCCTCTGTATCTGTTGACTGGCATGTGTGTCTGTGTGTGCGTGCACATGTACTGAGACTCAAACCCTGACCTAGATGCTGCACCTTAGCTTTTTCACTCAAGGCTGGCACTCTACCACTTAAGCCACAGTTCAACTTCCCACTTCCAGCTTTTTGGTGGCTAACTGGAAATAAGAATCTCCTGGACTTTTCTGCCTAGACTAGCTTTGAAACACGATCCTCAAGTCTCAGACTAGTAGCTGGGATTACAGATGTGAACCACTGGTACCCAGCCTAAAGACTCTTACCTTGAATCTAGAGGCTTAGGCATGACACATGGCTCCTGGTGCCACCTGTGTCCCAGGCCCAGCTGTGACCACCTGCTATACTGTTGTTCATGACTGGCATGTGAGTTTGGAGATGGGCTGCGCCCTGGTCACTTCCTGACACTGCCAACGTGGTGGCCTCAAGTCCTGAGGCAAGAGCAAACAAAGAGCCATGCACTGGTGACTCCAACTTGTAATCCTAGCTACTCAAGAGTCTGAGATCTGAGGATTGAAGTTCAAAGCCAGTCTGGGCAGGAAAGTCTGGGAGACTCAAGCAAGTGGGAGGCCCTGAGTTCAGGCCCAGGTACCTGCACCAGAAAAGAAAGAAAGAAAAAAGCACATAAAGGAAGCTCTGGTTCATCCTGACCTTTGGTTTATAAATGGGAAGGCCCTCGTGGATAGAAATTACAATCAATTCTTGAGTAATCTGGAAATATTCTGCAAGAATTTGAGCACTTGTGTGTAATTTGGACCAAAGGGGAACATACTATACTAACCACATATAGTAACCACACAATCAAATGGTTCCACATTTTACTTTGCCATCCTTCATCAAATCTTATTCTCCTATTGTGTTTTTCACTTGACGCTTTTTTTTTTTTTAGTCGGTCGTGGGGCTTGAACTCTGGGCTTGGGCACTGTCCCTAAACTCTTCAGCTCAAGATGAGCGCTCTACCACTTGAGTCACAGCGCGCCACTTCTGGTTTTCAAGTGGTTTATTGGAGATAAGAGTCTCACGGACTTTCCTGCCTGGGCTGGCTTTGAACCAAGGTCCTCAGATCTCAGCCTCCTGAGTAGCTAGGATGACAGGTATGAGCCACCAGTGCCTGGCTTGACACTTTTTTCCCCTTCACTTTTGTGCTAGAGATTAAATCTAGGCTTCACAACAGATACATTTCAAAGAAAGCTATGTAGCAGTCTTCTCCAGATTGATTCCAAAAGGCACACTTTAGTCACAGAAATCTTCAGGGTTATTTCAGAAAACCCTCTCACTCCATTCATGGATTTATACACCATTTTTTTTTTCTTTAATGTGTTGTGTAGCCCAGTGGTGGAGTAGCTCAGTGGTGTGGTGTGCACTTTGCATATAAAAGACCCTGGGTTCAATAACCCTGTCAAAAAGATACTCTCTGGGTTCTTTCTGCCATCTTTCAATGCCACGTAATGGCACACACAAGATATCCTGGGAGATGCTCTGCAGAGTATTCCAAAATAGACAAGTGCCAGGGTCTTATTGCACCATGCTCCAAAGTCATCATCCAATTTCTCATGTGTATGTGTGCACACACACATGCTGGTACTGAGGCTTAGACTCAGGATCTGGGGTGTCCCTTGTTTTGTTGCCAAGGCTGGTGCTCTACCACTTGAACCATAGCTCCACTTTCAGCTTTTGGTGGTCAACTGGAGATGAGAATCTCACAGACTTGCCTGCCTAGGATAGCTTTGAATTGTAAACCTTGGATTTCAGCCTCCTGAGTAGTTAGGATTACAGGCATGAGCTATCAATGCCCCAAATTCATCATCAGTGTCTAGCTACTGACAAAACAGCTACACTGGTGAATTTAAAATTTAAAATCACTGATGTGATCACAGAGCTAGAAAAATCACTGTGAACCTCATAGGCAGGTTAAATAGGTACGGAATGATCAGTCTTAGATTTGACCTGCAGCTCAAAGACTTAAAGAAATGGCAAAATAGCTTCCAAACCTGTCATTTTGGTTTCCATGTACTGACCTTAACTAACATCAAAAGCCATGAATAAAAAAAAAAAAAAAAAGACAATCATGTGAAAGCAAAAATCCTGGGATTCTTTTGCTAAGGATGTAAAACATGCATACAAATAAGGAAGAAAAGAAATCTTCTAGAATGGTCGTGAATTTAAGGATCAAACTTTTTTATTCTCCCAGTGCTGGGGATAGAAGTCACATGCTAAGCAAGTCCTGCCACTGGGCTAAATCTCAGTCCTTTTAGTAACAACTTTTTCCATTCATGTCCTCATTACTTCATCATTTTCTTCATATAGGGTTTGCACATTTCTTGTGAGCTTTTTTTCCTTTGTAATTCATGGGTTTCATTGTTGTGCATGGGAGTGTTTTCTTCCTTCAAGTATATTTTCTAGTTTGTCATCGTCATTTACAGGAGGTAAATGCTGAGTCTCCATTAATTATCCATAAAAGGACAGAAGAAGTAGCATTACTCAGTAAAAGGTTTCCATGGTCCAAAGTGTGGACAAAACACATCTAAACAGATCTGTTGGTACAGGATTTAATGCCTTCAATGCATACAACGTGGAACCACCAGGAATTCCCAAGGGCCGAGGGCCTTCTGTGCCGACTTGGCCACGGAATCCTTTGTCCCAAGATATCCCTTAAGATTCCTTGGGAAACCATGCATCTAAAAACCCTTCTAGTTTGCGGTCAGTTCAGGGGTCTCCACTGAACCTTACCCGATGCTCAAACTCCCAACCACTCACCCCAACTAGAACACATTAGAGGACCCGGTGTCGGAGTGGATGCTTTAATGAGGGGTTTTCAGTCCTCACAAGTGGGCCCAGCCTCCAGCATGCCAGCTCTCGGGTGCAGCCAGGTGAGCTAGTTGCTCAAGAATAGGTACCCAGAGTCTAGATCGAGCTGGGGAGATGGGGGTGGGGTGGGGCACAAGGCAGTTGGGGAGACACGCGCTGGGCGCGGATGGGGGGACGGCGGGCTCAGGCTGGCCCCTCTTCAGGCATTCCCAGCAGAGCCACAAGGGGCTCCAGGGGAGCGGGGGTCTCGATGGGCGCGGGGTGCGTGCGTTCGTGCTTGCGCAGGTCACTGGCGCTCAGGAAGGCCTTGGGGCAGTGCGGGCAGGCGTAGGGGCGCACGGAGCTGTGGGTTCGGCTGTGCTTGCGCAGCCCGGCCCTGTCTGAGAAGCTCTTGCCGCACTGGGTGCAGGCGAAGGGCCGGAGCTCCGGGTGCGAGCGCTCGTGGCGCCGCAGCAACGTCAGCGTGGAGAAGGTCTCCTTACACTCGCGACACGCGAACTGCGGGGGCTTCTCGTCCGTCTCCTCGCCGCCCCCCACCTCGCCCGTCTCGCCCATGGGGCCGGGCGCCTCCGCGCCGCCCGCGTTCAGGCACTCCACGTGCTCCACCGTCATGCCCACCACTTGCCACTGCGTGGCCATCACACCGGCCGACTCCGGGGGCAGCCCCAGCAGCCCGGCCGGGGGGTCCCCCAGCGCCGCCCCTGGGGCGGCCGGGCCCTCCACGCCCACCGGCAGGGCCAGCCCCACCACCAGCTCCTGCTGGGGGGCGGCCCCCGCAGCCTCGCTGCTGCTGCTCCGATGGGTCCGCTCGTGCTTCCGCAGGCTGGAGGACACCACGAAGGACTTGCCGCAGGCGTTGCAGTGGAACGGGCGCTCGCCCGAGTGCACGCGGCTGTGCTTGGTGAGGCTGGCGCGCTCGGCGAAGGCGCGCCCGCACTCCTCGCAGCGGAACGGCCGCTGGCCCGAGTGCACCAGCGCGTGCCGCTTGAGGTCCCAGGACGCCACGAAGGTCTTGTCGCACTGCAGGCACTTGAAGGGCCGGTCGCCGGTGTGCACGCGCCGGTGCATGGCCAGGTCGGCCGGCTGCCGGAAGTCCTTGCCGCACTTCTCGCAGCGGTACGGCTTCACGCCCTCGTGCGCGCGCTGGTGGCGCCGGAAGCTGGACGGGTCGGAGAACATGCGGCCGCAGCGCGGGCACAGGAAGGGCTTCTCGCCCGAGTGCGTGCGCTCGTGGCTCTGGTAGGAGCTGAGCTGCGTGAAGCCCTTGCCGCAGGCCGGGCAGCGGTAGGGCTTCTGCGCCGCGTGGATGCGCTGGTGGCACGTGAGCGACGACGAGCGAGAAAAGCTCTTTCCGCACTCAGAGCACAGGAAGGGGCGCTCGCCAGTGTGGGACCTGCGGGGGGCGTGGGGAGCCGGGCGTGAGGGCCACAGACCCTCCCAGGGTCCAGGGCCCTGCTGCCTGTCCGAGCTGTCATTTAGAGACCACCCTGAAAGGTCTCCTAAGAGCCACGGGGAGAAACCCCAGGGCACTCCCGAGGCGGGGGCAGAGGATCGGGGGCCCAGGCCGGCCTGGGATACACAGCGAGATCCCGACTTAAAAAAAAAAAGGAAAAAAAAACCCTGCTGGGCACCGGTGCCTCACTCCTGTAAATCTAACCACTCAGGAGGCTGAGGATAACGGTTCAAAGCCACACTGGACAGGAAAGTCCATGCGACTCATCTCCAATTAGCAAAACGCTGGAAGTAAAGCTGTGGCTCAATGGTAGAACGCTAGCCTTAAGCAAAAAAGCTAAGGGACAGTGCCTGGGCTGAGTTCAGGCTTCGGCCCTCCCACCTGCACCCCCATACACAGTAAAAACCAAAACAAAAAAGCAAACCCCTCTACACATTGAAGACTCGGGTGAGCCAAACCCAACTCACACCCAGACTTCGCCAAAGACGAAGCTGAGATGCCCAACTTTAAATCCTGCTTCTTCCCCAGCTTTCCTTAGAACCTGCGCCCGTCAGACCCCAACTTCTCCCAGGCTCCATCTTTAGTCATCGGCTCCGCCCATTAGATCAACCCCAGTTCTACCAGGGAACCCAGCCCCACCCCCGAGGACCACGCCCACCTCCCCATTGGCTCATTCTGCTGCGCGAGCCTCGACCCCAGTCCCCATTGGCTACCGCCTCCAAGCAGCCTCCAGCCCCCCAGACAGGGCCCTCACCGTTCGTGGTTGCGCAAGTCCTTGAGCTCGGCGTAGGCCTTGCCGCAGCGCTCGCAGCCATAGGGCCGCAGGCCGGCGTGAGTGCGTCGGTGCTTGCGGAACACCGAGGGATCGGCGAAGCTCTTGCCGCAATCTGCACAGGCGTAGGGCCGCTCGCCCGTGTGACCACGCTGGTGGATCTTGAGCTTGGAGAGCGCGCCATAGGCCTTGGGGCAGTGTGCACATCGGAAGGGCAGCTCGCCAGCGTGCGAGGCCAGGTGCACGCGCAGGCACACTGGCTGCATGAAGCGACGCCCACACTCCGGGCACGGAAAGGGTTTCTCGCCTGTGTGGCTGCGCCCATGGCTGCGCAACTCGGGTGCCGTCTTGTAGGCTTTTGGGCACAGCGGACAGGCGTAAGGCCGAGGCTTGGCTGCTGACCCTGACACCTTGTCCCCACCGGCTTCCTCGGCCTTGGGTTCTGTATCAGCCTTTGGCTTCACCTCGGCCACCTCCTCACTGCAGTCTGCAGGTGCATGGGTGGCAGCGTGGCGCGCTGCCCTGGGCGCATTTGGAAATGTCTTGGTACAGGACAAGCACTTATAGCGGCGGCCAGACCGCTTGTAGCCAGGAGCTGGGGCCCGGGCCTCTGCCGCCTCCACCTCCATGGTGGGTGGGGCTTCTCTGCAAGAGAAGCAAAGTCAGGCCACAGCCATGGTCCTTCAAGGCCTGCTTTCTCACCAAAACATCCTATAATCTCATCTGCTCTTCCCACCTGGGACGGCACAAACCACACGACCCTCACATCCTTCCTGCCAACCATCCCTGACTCAAACTCAGGGTTCCCGTTTCCTCTGTGATCTGCTCATTGAGGCTAGGAATGAACCAGGTGAAGGACTGGGGGTAGGGGGTAGTGGGTGCTAAGGTCCCAAAAGATCTACCTGCACTTTGCTCCACAATCTCTGTGAACTTTCAGAGTGTGGAGAAATCCTGTGGCTGTCTCGAATGCCTAGGTTCCTTTAGTCTTGCCATCTTCCTTCTTCAGCTCAGTGTCCAAGGACTATGCCAGGATTCTGTATAAATAGATGTGGTTCTTAACCTGAAGGTTTCCAATCACCCGGGGAAGACAGACCTGGGTCTGGGAGAAGGAGAAGCCAGTTGGCTAAATGTAATTGGCACCATGTGGTACCCCAATATATTCAGGCTGTCTCCCTGTCTGGTTGGTTAACCCTTCAGAGAAGCAACTGTTCACAAAGAATTCTGGCCTTGAACAGCTGTAAGGGACTCCACCCCAGGCAGGAATCCCGGTCCACCCTCTGCTCTGGCATCCCAGTTGTTCTCCTAATCCCAGAACTCTGGTAATGGAGAGATTTATTTGCTCTCAAGGCTGTCAGTAGCCTCTTTCTCAGTCATAATCGATGAATCTGATCTACCAAGGTCTCTTGGGACACCAGCTCTAAGCAGAGGTTTCTACTTTCTGGGCCAGAGCCCAGACACCAGTCACCCAGCTGCTCCAGGGATCACATTTGGGAGGAAATAGGATTAATGGCTGCATTAGTCTTAACACCAGCTCATCCTTCCCCAAGGGGATGAAGGGAAAAGGATTACAGCAGATCCACTTAAGGGAGCTCAGATGCAGCAGCTGGGGGGGGGGGGAGCCAGATGTGCCCAGAGGCTAGACAGCCTCCATTCTACTTTGAGCCCTGGGATAACTTACTAGATCTCAGGAAAATCACTGCTTGTTTATAAGCCAGTTTCCTCATCTGTGTGCCTCAGGGGTTGGCTTCTAACTTACAACACAGATTGAGGAGGAGGACGAAGCTGAGAAAAGAGAGAGAGGCTCAGAGCCCCTTGCTCCTTGCTTTGTTTTATGTGTAACACTTTTATTAGATTTAAGTATGCTCATCCAATTTGTTCTGCCTAGGTATAACACTTTTGTTAAGGCTGTTAAGGCTAGCAGGTCTTTGTGCTAGGAGACAACCTGCAGCTGTCCGTTCTCCAATAGACTCCCAATTTGATATCTCAAAATGTGGCTTCTCTGTGGTCCCTCTCCCCTACACAAGAACTTTCCATGGCTCCCACCACCACACTGTTAGTTTGTCCTGGTTGTTCCCAAATCATGTCCTTCATTTAAGCCCTACTTTCCTCTTTGGATTTTGACTCCAATCACAAACACCTCTGTTCTCATTATATTCAATTGACCACTATACCCTGGGGTATGATGATGAATAAAAAGGCTTGAGCTCTGAGCTGGGCATTGGTGGTTCCGAGTTTGAGATTACACCCGTACCCTAGCTACTCAGGAGCCTCAGATATGAGGGCCATAGTTTGAAGCCACCCTGGAGAGAAGAAATCATAAGACTTTTTTTTTTTTGTTGGTCATGGGGCTTGAACTCTGGGCCTGGGCACTGTCCTTCAGCTCTTCAGCTCAAGGCGAGTGCTCTACCACTTGAGCTACAGCGCCGCTTCTGGTTTTCTGGTGGTTTATTGGAGATAGGAGTCTCACAGTCTTTCCTGCCCGGGCTGGCTTTGAACTGCGATCCTCAGATCTCAGCCTCCTGAGTAGCTAGGATTACAGGCGTGAGCCACCAGCGCCCGGCTGAAATCATAAGACTTTTATCTCAAACTAACCAGCAAAACTGGGAAGTGGAGCTGTGGCTCAAGTGGTAGAGCATCAGTCTTGAGCAAAAGGAAGAAGGAAGAAAAGTGATAGCTCACATCTATTAAGAATATGCCAAATTCCAGACAGTATCCTACACTGTTCATGTGTTAAGTCACTTACCCTTCACGTCAACACCATGAGCAATGTCCTTTTCATTGATAAAGGAACTGAGGTCCAGAAAAACAGGACAGTACCGTGGTTAAGTGCAGAGCCTCTGAAGCCAGAATGCCCAGCTTCAGATCTTGACTCCATTGCTCTCCAGCTGATGTAACCTTGTGAAATTTACTGCATGTCTTAGAACCTGTTTCCTCATCTGAAAAATGGAGAGGTAAAAACAGTACTTAACCTTACAGGATCAGAGGATTGAATGAAATAGAAATAAATACCACCCTCAATTATTTCATTTTCAGACGCAGACCCTTTGCTGATGTGCTACCTTGCCTAATTCATCACTTCTTAAAGTAGGGACTACTGTGCCCATTTTACAGATGAATAAACTGAGGTTTTGAAAGTGATGTTAACTTGCCCACAGTCATGTAGTTATTAACTCATGTAGCTGAGACTTGAATCTAACTGTTTAAATTATTTTAAGTTATGAATCAGCCTCACAATGAACAGAACTCTAAGTTTAGACTTCATCTGTCTTCTCTTATCCTATGGAAATGCTTTGCAATCACAGTCAGTACCCTTCATGTCTCAGAGGACTGGGCTTACTGGTTCTTAGATCTGGCCTCTCTTCTGGCTCTTGCTGGATCTGGGCTTTGATATTCCTATCTATAAAATAGTTACTGGGGGTGGGGAAGAAGTCCAAAACATTCTCCAAGGAAAACTGTACCTTTGGCACCCAGTTCCATACAGGATCAAATAGGTTAGGCCCGTCTACAATCCATTAGAGCCTCACTTCAGTTTACTGATGACTCTTCCAACCCTGGTGAGTTTTGCAAAATCCCTACATCAAAATGATCATCTAGGCAGGACACAGGAATCTGTATTTTATTTTGTTTCTTTATTTATTTTGGGTGCCAATACCAGGGCTTCAAATATTTTCCCTGAAGCTCCATTTTCCATTTTTTGCTGGCTGATTAAAGGCAAGAATCCCATGGACAGTTTCCTGCTCAGGCTGGTTTTAAAGCATGATCATCAGATCTCAGTCAAAGAAGGTAGAATTACAAGTGTGAGCCACCAGCACCTGGTTAAGAATCTGTATTTTAAGCACACTTGCTGCAACCCTTCAACCAACACAAGAACAAAATACATGGAATGTCATTCGTGGTAGAACTTGCCTAACCCTGCTCTTGCTTCCCCTAGCCTCAGAAGCAAAACAAACACATACCCTTAGGTTTGCACACATTCTAGAGAAAGATATAGTTATATTACAACTTTTTTCTTTTTAAGATATGGAGATCAAGATGCCACAAAGTTAAAAAAAAAAAAACACACACAACTGTGCAGAAGGACACAGAGCTAATCAAGGAGCCCAGATTCAAATTCAAGTCATCAAACCTGGAGCTGGACTCTTTCTCTGCCTATTCTTGTTCACGTGAGGATTTTTAAACCAAATCATGACACTGTTCCCAAGAAAAAGACCAGTACTTTTCCCAAGGCTCCAATCCATCTAACTCCTGTCTACCTCACCTTCTAATCCCTCTCCCCTTCATCACCAGACCCCACCCACCAGGCCAGCTTTCCATGATTCCCCCAAGAGCTTTGTATAGCTGTCTCCTGGTTGCCTTTGGGTATCAGGTCCTTGACAACTTCTCAAAGAAGTGGTCAAGAGACCAATTTTCTTTCTCCCTCCCTCCCTCCCTTCCTTCCTGTCTTTCATCAGGGTCTCAACTGTGTGGCTGGCCTGGAACTCTACAGGCTGGTCTCCAACTCTTGATCCTCCTCCTTCTACCTCAAATGCTGGAATTACAGGCATGCATCATCATGCTTGGGTCTGACTCATTCACTTCTTCCTTCCTTTTCTGCAGTGACAGGATAAAAATCAGAGCCTCAAGCACACTAGTCAAGTACTCATCCCTATGAGAGTGACTAACTTTCTTAATGCTATCTGTAACCCTGATATTTACTCTCTAGCCCTTTTTTCCTTTTCCTTTATTTTTTGTACTGGTACTGGGCATAACTCAAGTTTGGCTTTTTTGATGGTTAATAGGAGATCAGAAGCTGGGCGTCGGTGGCTCATGTCTGTAATCCTAGCTACTCAGGAGGCTGAGATCTGAGGATCGTGGTTCCAAGCCAACCTGGGCAGGAAAGTCTGAGACTCCAATTAACCACCAGAAAACTGGAAGTGGTGCTGTGGCTCAAGTATAGAGTGCTTGCCTTGAGCTGAAGAGCTGAGGGACAGCGCTCAGGCCCAGAGTTCAAGCCCCACGACCTTAAAAAAAAAAAAAAGATCAGAGTTTCATAGATTTTCCTGCCTGGGCTGGCTTTGAACTGAGATTTTCATATCTCAGGCTTCCGAGTAGGATTACAGGCATAAACCACCAGCACACAGCTGGTGTCATCTGGATCCCACACTGCTTACTGTGGCCAACTGTCATTCTAAGCATTTTATGTGTACTGCTCAAATTTCTCAAGCTAAGCTCACAACTGCTCAGGAGTTTGTTAAAGACAGTATGTTTTTCCCAAATCCATATATTAAAACCCTAACCCTCACTGTGACATTTTGACACAGAGATTTAGAAAAATTAATGAAGTCATAAGGGTAGAGCCCTAATGCAACAAGAGCAGCATTTTTTAATTTTTATTTTTTGGCTGGTTCTGGGGCTTGAACTCTGGGCCTGGGCACTGTCCCTGAACTCTTTTTGCTCAAGGCTAGCACTCTACCACTTGAGACACCATTTCTGGCTTTTTCTGTGATTAATTGGGGGTAAGAGTGTCACTGGGACTTATTTTCCTGCTGGGGCTGGCATTAACCCCCATCTTCAGATCTAAGCGGCCTGAATAACCAGGATTACAGGTGTGAGCCACACACGGGTTCTCAAAAGAGTAACATTCTTATAAGAAGTAACACCATAGAGAAACAAAGTAATTATAGTATTCAGAGCTTCTGGATCAGACTCTCTATCCTTATTCCCTATTGCTTTGATGGCAGGTTAGATTTCAACTGGTGTGTGTATATGCACTCGTGCCCATATTGGGACTTGAACTCAGGACCTGGGTGCTGTCCCATAGCTTTTTTGCTCAAGGCTGGCACTCAATTCCTGAGCCACAGCTGTACTTCCAGGTTTTTACTGATAGCTTAAGATAAGAATCTGCCAAATTTCCCTGCCCTGCTGGGCTTTGAACCACAATCCTCAGATTTCAGTCTCCTGAGTGTTAGGAGTGAGCCACCAGCGCCCTCAGCAGCTGTTTATTAACTGAATTTCTCATCCCTCAAGCTCACAAAGTCCAAATATGGCCCCAAGATATTCCATTCATTGTTGTAGTGAAGGAGCGTGTTCATCAGGTAAAGAGACTGAATTCCCCAAAAGCCTAGGTTAGGGCCTGTGAGAGGGGGGAACAGAATGGGACTAAAAGGAGACATCTAAGTGTCCCCAATCCTAAACAGACATCACATAAGCCTTGGTAGCCAGAAGGGATCTGATGAGAGTTAGTGGAACTCTAAAGGTGGCTGCTAGTCATATTCTAGGTCTGAGACCTGGTCAGCTCTCTCACAACCTGATCCCAACTCCTTTTTCAGCCTCAGCTTCTGTGGCTGTGTGCCCTCTGGAAAGCAACCTAAGCTCCAGCTACATTCTGAAATTAGCCCACTTCTAAAGGTACTGCCCTTGCTTCCTTTCGCCCACGGGAACACATTTTACATCCTTCCATTACTCCCTTCCCCAAGGATCCACAACGCTCTGAGCCTCAGTTTCCTCATCGGCAAAAAAATTTCGAGGCCCCCGAAATATAAGGGAGTTTGCACGGCCTTTGGGCCTACCAGACAATCCACGGAGGAGCCAAGAGCTATGGAAGCCCAGTGCTCCTCGCTCTCTATGTCGCCAGACAGGCAGTCCCTGTAGGGCAGGGCCTTGGGCTGACTCATTTTTTTTTTGGAATAAACCGTAGGAAAACGTAGCTTTCACAACGTGGCAAGAGTCGAGGGAGATCGCGGGGAGGAACAAATGAATGGACCAAGGACCGCAGGCAGGACAAAGGCCTGCAAGATGGCGTTCTTTAGGACCGCGGGAGGGGCGGTCAGGGCCTCCGCCGGGGAGGGGGCCCACGGTTGCCGGGGACCTGGCTTGTCAGGCCGCGCAAGCAGAAACAAAAGCCCGCAACAAGACGGGCTCTAGGACCCCTGGGCCCGTACCGGGTAAGGCCGGCAGCATCGTCGGCCGACCTCAGGCGTCCGCAGCAGCCGGCCCGCGGGGGGGGGGGGGACAGCCGGCGGGTTCTAGGACCATGCTGGGCCCGTAGCCTTCCCGGGCCGCTCCTCGCCCGCCCCGCCCGCGCAGCTCGCGCCCGGGCCAGCCCAGTCCTCCTACGGCGCCCACAGGGAAACTGAAGCCAGTTTGGATCGCGTCCGCGCCGAGGCTGCCCGAGGCCTTTTGCGACGGGTCGCAGGCGTCTCCTTACCTGATCCGACTCGGGCTGGCTCCGTGGCGCTGGCGTCGGCTTGGCGCACCCACCGAGCCCGGGACGCTGCGGGAAGGGTAGAGGACGGCGCTAGGACCCAGCGGGACGCAGGGAGGGCGGGGCGGGCAGGCCCGAGAACGGAAGTGGCGGGAGCTCCCGCGGCCGCGGACGGAGCGAAAGTTCACGCCTCCGAGCTACGAGGGCAGGGGAACATCTTGCCAGGAGTCTCGGGGTGTCCAAAGGAGGGGAGGCCGGGCTGCACTGACAGCATGTCCACCCGCCCGGCCACCGGAAGTGTCTCCGAGAGCCAGGAGGTGGGAGGTCGGGCCAGACTTAGGTTCTCAAGCTCGGTGGGACCTAAATCCGCTTCCACCTCACAACACTTCCTTTGGCGAAGCCTCACCCATATGTCTTGAGAAGTGTCTTTCAGGGCTCCTCATGAAAAATGTCACCCAAAGGCCGTGGCCGGGACGGCAGGACATTATGATCGTTATTATTATTACTTTTTTCTCCCCCTCTTCGGCGTTTATTCAATAAGCACCGGAAGGACTTGAGCGGCGGCGAGCGGAAGTGTGGCTACGATAGTACGTAGGCAAACCGCCGCGCGCTGACCTGCCTGGGCGGAGCCAGAGCCCGACGCCGGAAGTGTGTCTGCGGACCGCTGTTTGGAGGCGGGACAGGAAGTGTTCGGAGAACGGAAGTTTCTCGGGGAAGCTTTTGCATCTCGGACACTTCCTGTTTCCTAGTAACAATAGGAAGTGTCCGCGAAGCTGCGGGTTGACTCCTGGCTCCCACCAGCTGTACCTTCTTCCCTCTACCTTTCTCCTCCTCCCTTGTCTCTCCCCCACCCCCTTCTCTTTCTCTCCGCTTTCACCTCCCAGGAGCCCTGGCTGAGTGTGCATGTGTGGGAGCCATGAGACCCTTCCCACAGCTACCCGTTAGGGCGCGCGGCTGCAGTTAGGGTAAGGGTCCCAGTGCGCAGGCGCACTCCCGTTCGCGGTCCCCCCCCCCACCCTCCCCTCCCCAACGGACGCGCCCGCGGCGGGAAGGAAAAGGGGCTTGGCCGGTGCGAGGTAGGGGGTCCTGAAGGAAAAAAAAAATTGTCAGAGAGGATGAGTGATGCCAGAGGACTTCGCTGGTGGTTGATTTAGGGAAAGAGACTCTTGGGCGTCAGGAGTTGTCGGAGGTGAGAACAGCGGGGACAGGCTCCGTGAGGAGGTGTAGCAATCCGAGGTCGGATTCGTGTTGGAGTCCCATGGGACCGAAGAGTCAGGGTCGGAAAAGGCCAAGATGGTGTAGAAGGCACGAGGGGCTGCTCCTGGGAAAGGTAGAGCTTTGGTAGGAAGAGTGCCTTTGCCAATTGGGTGAGCTCATGTGGAAACTAGGTGGACCGAGACATTGCAAAGTGGTGAGGGTTTAGGGTCAGACACAGTGACCATCCTTGCCACAGCGCCTGGCGCATGGGAATGCCCAGCGTGAGTTGTTGTCATCAATAGTAAGAGAGGACGTAGAAGAAGGAAGAAAAAACAAAACAAACACGACAACTGGTGGTGATGGGAAGGTAAGGCAGTGTGAATCAGAGAAGGGTAGAGGATTGGAATGAAATTTTGACCTGAAATGGGATGAACTTTCAAGATGGGAGATAGTTTAGGCTCTGGAGAAGTAGGTAAGGGAAGTGACCCAAGGAGTCTTGGGAAGGAGACCTTGTGATACTTGAAAGAACTACAGGTATGAGGGTACAAGCTGGACCTTTCTGTGAAGAGGTCTTACCTCTTCTTGTTTTTAGCTGGAGAATCAGCGCTTCCAGGCTACTGCATATAGCTGAAGGTTAATGAAGGAAGGATTGTATGATCTTACTGGTCATGCCTTCTTTTAAGATAGCACTTTTTCTTTTTCTTTTCTTTTCTTTTTTTTTAGCTACTGGGAGTAGAGGATCAGGGACACTAAGACCTCTAGGTCTAGTCTGAAAACAAAATAGGTCTGTGATCAGAAAGTAGTTTAGATCTAGTCAGACATCAGTGGCGCTCTCACCTAGCAATGCAAGAGGCTGTGATCTGAAAGATTTTGATTTGAGGCTAGCTCAGGCAGAAGAATTCACTAGACTCCATTTCCAAAATATCCAGCAAAACTTAAAGCTGGAATTGTAGCTCAAAATAGTAGCCTAGGAAGTAGTGAGGCCCTGAGTTCAAACCCCAGTGCTGGCCCAGAAAAAAATTTTTTGAAAGGGTCAATTAGATCGCTGTAGACTTTTTCTTTTCTTTCTTTCTTAATTTTTTTTTTCTTTTGTGGGGAGATGACTTAAACCAAGAGGAGCTTCCACATTTGAGGAGTTTGTACTTAGGGAAGTCTTAATGATGCTACTTCCAGATTAATTGATAGTTGGGAGACCTCCCGGTGGCTTTTGGTGAACTTGTTGCTTATATAGTCAAGAGGCAAAGTTAAAGCCAGGTACTGGTGGCTTATGTCTGTAATCCTAGCTACTCAGGAGGCTGAGATCTGAGGATCTCGGTTCAGAGCCAACCCAGCATGAAAGTCCGTGAGACTCTTATCTTCAATAAACCACTCAGAAACCGGAAGTGGTGCTGTGGCTCAAGTGGTAGAGTGCTTGCCTTGAGCTGAAGAGCTGAGGGACAGTGCCTAGGCCCAGAATTCAAGCCCTACAACCGACCAAAAAAAAAAAAGTGGCAAGGTTAATTGAGGCCATCCTTTTGACCACTGCCCCTTCTTCCTCCTCTTCCTAGGCCTTGTCCCCTCCACCAGAGGAAAATGCTGCTGCTACTTGTCTGCTCCTCTTGAACCTCCAGGTTTCTGGTTTCTGTCACATTGCCCCATGGAGGACCCGCCCCGCTCATTCAGCTGCTCTGATTGTCAGCGTCATTTTCCTAGCCTCCCAGAACTCTTGCGACACCGAGAACTGCTCCATCCATCTCCCAATCAGGACAGTGAAGAGGCTGACAGTATTCCTCGGCCCTACCGCTGTCAGCAGTGTGGGCGGGGCTACCGTCACCCAGGGAGTCTGGTCAACCATCGCCGTACCCATGAGACTGGCCTTTTCCCCTGTATCACCTGTGGCAAAGACTTTACCAATCCCATGGCCCTCAAGAGCCACATGAGGACTCATGCTCCTGAGGGCCGCCGCAGACGAAGGCCCCCTCGCCCCAAGGAAGCTACTCCACATCTCCAGAGTGAGACAGTGTCTGGTGACTCTTGGGGCCAGAGACCTGGGCCTGGGGAAGACTGGGAAAACCAGACAAAACATGCTAAAGAAACCCCTGACTGTGAATCTGGGCCTGACCCCAGGGCAGCTCCAGGTACTTGGGAAGATCCACCCACCAGGCAAAGAGAAGGCTGGGAAAGCCAGCCAGATCCTGAGGGGGAAATGGAGGCCTGGGACCCCACCACCAATTCGACTGCCAGAGCCCCACCTCTACCCACCCCAGCCAGCAGCCTCCTTAGCAATTTAGAGCAGTATTTAGCAGAATCAGTAGTGAACTTTACAGGGAGCCAGGAGTCTACTCAGTGCCCTCCTGCTGAGGAGGAGAGGAGATACAAGTGCAATCAGTGTGGTAAAACCTATAAGCATGCCGGGAGCCTCACCAACCACCGCCAGAGCCACACCCTGGGCATCTACCCTTGTGCCATCTGCTTTAAGGAGTTCTCTAACCTCATGGCTCTGAAGAACCATTCCCGACTCCACGCCCAGTATCGGCCTTACCACTGTCCCCACTGTCCCCGTGCCTTCCGGCTTCCCCGGGAGCTGCTGGAACACCAGCAGTCCCATGATGCGGAAAGGCAAGAGGAGCCATGGGGAGAAAAGGGGATGCCCATCACCAATGGACATACAAATGACAGCAGCCGGGACCAGTTGGAGATGCTGAATGGCTCTGGAGAGCTGGAAGATGGAGGTTTGGAGGAATATCGGCCTTTCCGTTGTGGGGACTGTGGCCGAACTTACCGACATGCTGGGAGCCTCATCAACCATCGAAAGAGTCATCAAACGGGTGTGTACCCCTGCTCGGTCTGTTCCAAGCAGTTGTTCAATGCAGCGGCTCTCAAAAACCATGTTCGGGCTCATCACAGACCCCGGCAAGGAGCTGGGGAAGATGGGCAGACATCTGTGCCAGTAGCTGGTGTTAGAGACCTGGGGTCGGATACCAACTGCAAGGAGGAAGAAGTCCCCACCAGTATCCTGGACCATCGCCCCTACAAGTGTGCTGAGTGTGGCCGGGCTTACCGCCACCGGGGAAGCCTAGTGAACCACCGCCACAGCCACCGGACAGGAGAGTACCAGTGCTCCCTCTGTCCCCGCAAGTACCCCAACCTCATGGCCCTGCGCAACCATGTACGAGTACATTGCAAGGCTGCTCGCCAACGTGCAGGCCCAGGGACTGAGGCTGAAGAGCCTCCCGGCTGCACCAACAGGAAGATCCTCCCTGAGCCAGCGGGAACAGAGGCAGCTCCCCACAGGGAGCAGGGACATGTCTGCAAAGATGAAGAGGGGACCCCCAGTGTCTGTGACATGGAGAGCCTCGAATATCACTGTGTGACTCCCAGGGCAGAGGAAGGGGAGAATAGCAGGACAGAGACCACCGCATCTTCACCTCGGACATTCGCTTGCCGAGATTGTGGAAAGAGCTACCGCCACTCGGGCAGCCTTATCAACCACAGACAGACCCACCAGATAGGGGACTTCAGTTGTGGGGCCTGTGCCAAGCACTTCCACACCATGGCTGCCATGAAGAGCCACTTGCGACGCCATAGCCGGCGACAGAGCCGGCGGCATCAGAAGCAGGCTAGCAGTGCTGGCGGAGGAGAGGCCAAACTCCCACCAGCAGAACTACCAGCAGGAACCTGGGCCCAGGAATTGGAGGACAGTGAGGGCCTGGACCCTTCCCAAGAGCCTTTGGAGGATAGTCCTTGTGTGACTGAAGACAACACAGAAAGTGACAGGGACTGTTTCCAGGCTGAATTGGAAAACAATAAATGTGAGCTTGAGAGGGATGAGGCCTGTTTCCAGGGTGATGAAGAAAGCAGAGGCCCTGAGGAAGGGCTGGAAAGGAAGAAAGCCTGTTTCCTTGACAACTTGGGCATTCCAGTTGATGAGGAAGGCAGTGGAACTGACTTTTGTGATGGCCTCACTGGGTTGGCCGAAGACCATAAACCTTCCACTAACCAGACCAACTCGTCTTCCCAACCCATAGAGACTGACCTCGACTGGCAGGTTGAGGTTGCTCATACGTGTTCTGACTGTGGGCATTCCTTCCCCCATGCCACTGGGCTGCTCAACCACCGGCCCTGCCACCCACCAGGCATCTATCAGTGTTCCCTCTGCCCAAAGGAATTTGATTCTCTGCCTGCCCTTCGCAATCACTTCCAGAACCATGGCCCTGGGGAGGCAGCCTCGGCCCAGCCATTCCTTTGCTCCCTGTGTGGTATGATCTTTCCTGGGCGGGCGGGCTACAGGCTTCACCAGCGCCAGGTTCACAATGCTTCTGGCATGACGGAGGGCTCAGAGGAAGAAGGGGAAGAAGGAGCAGCAGAGACAGCTTCTACGCACAGCCCTCTGCTACAGCTCTCAGAAGCAGAGCTGCTGAACCAGCTGCAACGGGAGGTGGAGGCGCTGGGCGGCACAGGTTATGGACACATTTGTGGCTGCTGTGGTCAGACCTACGATGACCTGAGGAGCCTAGAGCGTCACCATCAAAGCCAGAGTTCTGAGACTCCCTCAGACAAGGATCCCAGCCACATGGGAGCGATTGACGATGCCACAGAGATGGTTGCAGGCATTATCTCCGAGGGCACCTCTGTCTCCGGAGAAGATGGAGACACCAAGTCTGAAGAGGGAATAGATGACACCGTTGCAGACAGCCTTTGCATGCAGGTGGATGAAAGTTTTCTGCAAGCCCAGCCCCGCCCCTTCCGCTGCAATCAGTGTGGCAAGACCTATCGCCATGGGGGTAGCCTGGTCAACCACCGCAAGATCCACCAGACTGGAGACTTTGTCTGTCCCGTCTGCTCCCGCTGCTACCCCAACCTGGCTGCCTACCGCAATCACCTGCGGAACCACCCTCGCTGTAAAGGCTCTGAACCCCAGGTGGGGCCCATCCCAGAGGCGGAAGGTGGCAGTGAACCCCAGAACATGGCAGAAGAGGGACTAGAGCAGGCAGAAGAGGGACAGCCCCTGGAAGAACTGAAAGTGGAGTCCCCGGAGGAGGTGGCCATGGTGAAGGAAGAGGCATGGGAGGAGACCACGGTGAAAGGGGAGGAGATGGAGTTGAGGCTGGAGACGGCAGAGAAGGGCTGTCAGACGGAGACCAGCTCTGAGCGGCCCTTCAGCTGTGAAGTGTGTGGTCGCTCATACAAGCATGCTGGCAGCCTCATCAATCACCGGCAGAGCCACCAGACCGGCCACTTTGGCTGCCAGGCCTGCTCTAAAGGTTTTTCAAACCTCATGTCTCTTAAGAACCACCGGCGCATCCACGCAGACCCTCGGCGTTTCCGCTGCAGCGAATGTGGGAAAGCCTTTCGCCTGCGGAAGCAGCTGGCCAGCCACCAGCGGGTCCACACTGAGCGGCATGGGGCTGGCACCACGCGGAAGCTGACCCGGGAAGATCGGCCCTTCCGGTGTGGGCAGTGTGGGCGGACCTATCGCCATGCCGGCAGCCTCCTCAATCACCGGCGAAGCCACGAGACAGGCCAGTACAGCTGCCCTTCCTGCCCCAAGACCTATTCCAACCGCATGGCCCTGAAGGACCACCAGAGGCTGCACTCAGAGAGTCGGCGGCGGCGTGCTGCACGGTCGCGGCGGACAGCCATGCGCTGTGCCCTTTGTGGCTGCAGCTTTTCTGGCCGGGGATCTCTTGAACGGCACCTGCGGGAGCATGAGGAGACCAGAAAGCTGGCTAGTGATCAGGGCGGTGCCAGTGGCACAGAGGACAGTGAAGGGAACTTGACTGGTGTACAGGGACTAGAGGGCAGATCAGGTGGTCCTGAGTCAGTCTCACAACTGGAGGAGGGAGCCAGGAATCCAGGAGGGCACAGTCTGAGCCCCAGTAGGGAAGCTATCTCAGAAGCCCCAGAGCCACTGTCGTGGGGTGTGGAAAAGGCAGATGAGTGGCAAGGAGAGAGGGGGCTAGAGAAGCCCAGGGAAGGTTGTGTTCCTCAGGGTCGTGTATTAACCACGCCAGAAGGCAAGTCAGGGGAGAGCATCCCCAGTCATCTTTGCCACTTTGCTGACACCCAGTCCAATGGACCTAGTGTGAGTTATGTGGAAAGCTGGGACAATGGAGACAGCGGCTCTCAGCTCCAGCCGGAGAGCCAGTCTTATTCCTGCAGCCAGTGTGGCAAGACCTATTTACAGCCAGAAGGCCTCTCGAACCACCACACCCACAAAACAGACCACCACTATTGCCTACTCTGTTCCAAGGAGATCTTAAATCCCATGGCCACTAAGAGCTATAGCCACAACCATATAGCTGCCCAGACTTTTGCCTGCCCTGACTGTGGTAAGACCTTTCAGGCCCACCATGAACTGGCCACACACCTGCAGGTTCATTCCAGGAACCACAGTCAGGTGCCAAGTCAGACAGAGGAGGCCAGAAGCGCCCAAGCTGGAACTGTTGAAGACAGGGTGGTTCTCCCTGGTCCGGAAAAAGCTCAAGAGGCCCCAGCAGACTCTCCCAAAGCCCCAGGAGAGAATGGTGAGCCAGCTAGTGAAGGACAAGGAGTAAGTTCTATGGCAGCTGAAGACAAGGAGCGGCCCTTCCGCTGTGCCCAGTGTGGGCGTTCCTACCGCCATGCTGGCAGCCTGCTGAACCACCAGAAGGCCCACACTACTGGACTCTATCCCTGCTCCCTGTGCCCCAAACTTCTCCCCAATCTGCTCTCTCTCAAGAATCATGGCAGGACTCACACGGACCCCAAGCGCCACCGCTGCAGTACCTGTGGCAAAGCCTTCCGGACAGCTGCCCGGCTGGAGGGCCATGGACGGGTCCATGCACCCCGGGAGGGGCCTTTCACTTGCCCTCACTGTCCCCGCCACTTCCGCCGCCGAATCAGCTTTCTGCAGCACCAGCAGCAGCACCAGGAGGAGTGGCCAGTGGCCAGCTCTGGTATGGGGTCCTGACTGGGCTGGGCAGAGGATTGAAGGGTCCCAGAAGGAGGTGGGCACACAATGGAGGGTAAGATCAGCTCCAAGGTGGAGAGGAGAGAGTCATACAGATTCAGAGAGGGGGACTAAACAAAACTAGGCAGTGCTGCCTTTGGAGCAGCTGAGCTTTGAACCCCCAGATCAGGTAATTAGCCTTATGCACTGGGCAAGGACAGAGATAGATGTCCATCCAGAGAGGAATGGGCCCTATGCCTTAGTGTGGGGGGAAGGGTAGCTGGGTACCACTCTGCTACCACATGTGGAAACCCTCCTGATTGAGCTAATAAAGTAGTGATTTCCAGAGGAAAGAGGGGAAGCCATTGATTTTTGTCTAGGTTCTGTTCCCTAGGATAGGCAGGGAGTCAGAGTGAGGCCTGGAGGGCAGTAACTGAAAGGCTCACCATTCCGGGGCTGTGTCATACAGCTTAGTGGTGGGGAGGAGGCCTGAAAAGTTCGGGGAGAGTTGAGGCCTGGGACTTCAGTGACCTTGGCTGATTGGACTGCCACATGGCTTCACTGTCGGCCATGGAAACTGGCCCTCTTTCCCATCAGTTTATCTCTCGTCCTCTTCTTTTCTTGGAAATGAGATTTCTGGTCCTTTTCTGTGAACATTGATTGCCTCACATCACTTTTTCTTCCCTTTAGTCAAGCCTTTTCCTGTCTCTCTGCGGCAGATCTCTTTTTAGGATCCAACCAAACCACCATTTCCACCAGCAAAACCTCCCTGCCATCCTTTAACTGGAGGACTGAGTCATAGATAATTGTTTCTTTGAAGCCAGGCCAAGCTGTGGCAACAGCAGTCATTAGCACTTATCTCTCATCCTGTATCAGAGGGGATCTCCATGTAGTCTAGCCTCCACCCAGCCTACTGAAGGATGAGGCTGGAGAGGCGTGGGAGCCTGGAGAAGACCCATTCAGTCTGGTGGCTTCCATGGTCCCTCAGATGGTAGACCCTTGACCAGACATGCTGGGGGATAGTGGGTGGATGTTCTGTAGGAGCTGAGGACATGGTTCAGGATAAAAATGTCTTATGACTTGAAGGGAATGAGTGAGGAGCCAGTTAACCAGGACTGGGGAGATAATTGGAAGTTCCAGGATTCCTGCCTTGTGGGCCTCTGGGGTCATGTGGGGAATGACCTCTGGGAGGGGGCGGGGGCTGGGGAGGCATGGGCTCCACCTAGTCAGCAACTTCCTCTTTCTCCCCAGGAGCCCCAGTGACACCAGCAGCAGGTAGAGGAGGCTTGTCACTGCCCCCTCCAGCCACCCCTTCAGCCCCACTCCTGGACCCTTCACCCCAGTGGCCTGCAGACCTCAGCTTCTCCCTCTGAACTTGAAGTCTCCAAAGAACAAACCGTTGGAGAGGGGCATGTGGGCAGGGAGGGGCTTGATCTCATGTTTCACTCAGGACTCTCTTGGCCATCCCCATCTCTCCTCTCCCAGGGAAGAGGGTGGGATGTGTTTTCATGTCACTTTTCTTGAAGGACCTCCTTCCCCAGCCTTGGTCACCATGCTCTTGCCCAGGGCTAGGCTCTGGCCAAGATGTCAGGCCCACCCTCACCAGCCAAATTCCAACAGCAGGGAGAGGCAGATTCAGAGAATGCCATGGGTGGGAAAGCTGCCTGTGGAAGGGGAGCCTTTTGCTACAGTTTGTAACTTATTTTCTAAAGTCTATTTTGTAACAATTTATTTAAGTTTAAAAAAAAAAAAAGGAAAATTGCTCCCCACCCCCATAAAAAAAAAAAAGAAACTTTTGAAAAAGCTGGCTGGTGTGATTTTTATGCAAGGGGAACAGGCTAGGGGGGGATGGGAAAGCTGCAGGGCTGAGGGGGGGGGCACCTCACAGGTGGCACCCTGTCCTGCAGGATCTAGAGTAGGTACGTCTGGGCCTGCCCCGGAGCCCAGATGCCCAGGGAAGGGGGAGGGTGCAGCAGTAACATTTTTCTCCAGTCACCTGTCAACATCTGGCTGGCTGGCCTGTTAAAGAGAGGAAGGAAGGGTGGGGGGACTGGCCTGGTCCTTGAAGCTTTGTTCGCTCCCTTGAAGGAATAGGGTCTGTCTGGGCCCCATGGACCATGAGAATACTGAGGCTGAAAGAGGGGGTGACATCATGTCCTTGGAATCCCCATGGGTCTGTCCACCACTCACCCCCGCAGGGCAGCTAGAAGTGGTTTAGCACTGTGTATTCCCTGGATGGACTGGGAGGTTCCTGAGGGAAGCCCCAGAACACATACTTGAGTTAGCCATGCAGCTTCCGGCCTCAACCACAGGCTCTGGCGGCTCAGCGAAGTAGACATGCCAGTCCAAACTGCTGACCCAGTCCTCGTAGGCAGGCAGGGCAGCAAAGACCGCAGGCCTTGCAGGCCCTTGGCAGGAGTCTCCAAAACTGTGTAGCCCAGCCAGGAACCAGGTGCCCCTCACCTCGTGTACTAGCGGTGCCCCAGACAGGCCCTGGCAGTTCAGATGACACTCAGTAACTCTCCCCCCTTGGCAGCAAGAGGGCCGAGGGGGCAGGAGATGAATGCTTTGGCAGTTTGGGGGCTAGTTGGCAGCAAAGATTGACTTCGGGTGAGGGCTAGAGGCCAAACCTGGCAAATCTGCTCATGAACTGCAGGGTGAGAGAAGGTCAGGAGCCTGTTGGGTAAGGTTTGAGGTCCTGGGACTCACCTCACAGTGGGGCCGCTCCCCCACAACACTGGTACACACCATCCCTGGCAGGATGGGGATGCCATCGCTCCCAGGGGCCGCATGCAGCCGACCACAGGCCCTTGGCCCCAAGACGGTCACAGGAACTGTCTGAGGGTAACCGATGCCTATAGGACAGGGAAAACAACCAAATCCAGCTGCTCCAGCAGCCTTTAAGCTCAATGAACAATCGCTGGTGGGCTTGATCCTACATACCTGCTCCTTGGCGAGCCAGCCCCAGGACCCAGCCACGTTCCCCGTCAGGCAGGTGATGGTCAGCGTAGGGCAAGCAAAGGGGCCGCAGGGTGGGACCCAGTGTCACGGGCTGAGCCAGCAGCAGTAGGGCTACATCATAGCCCCCTTCTGGGTGAGTATAGGCCCCATGCAGGATGAGTTGCTTCAGACTCCACTCCTCTGATCCAGTCCCCAGCCCTACACTCCATTCCTCTAGGGTCTGGCGCCTGTGCAGAGGCAGCATTGACAGCACTGGGTAACAGGGCTGGGGCTAGGGGCACAAAGGGGAAAGAGGGCTCACCCAATGAAGCAGTGGGCAGCTGTCAGCACCGCCTCCTCTGACACCAAGGCTCCGCCACAGGCCAGCTGCCCCTGGTGCTTCAGCCTGGCATCCCAAGGCCACACGGAGGGAGCTCCTGCCTGGGGACCTTCTGTCTTTAAGGATCCACAGGCTGAAACAGATGAATTCATCATCTGACAAAGGGCTTTAAGCAGGCCTAGCACACAGTGTTTACTTCCTATGGACCAATCAAATTCAGTATCCTTTTATTAAGGTTGCCTTTTGCTGGGAGCTGGTGGCTCACGCCTGTCATCCTAGCTAATCAGGAGGCTGAGATCTGAGGATCACAGTTCAAAGCCAACCCAGGCGGGCAAGTCCATGAGACTCATCTCCAATGAACCACCAGAAAACCAGAAGTAGCACTGTGGCTCAAAGTGGTAGAGCCGAGTCTCAAGCAAAAGAGCTCAGGGCCCTGAGTTCAAGTCCCATGACCACCAAAAAAACAAGTCGCCTTTTGTTATCTTCATTAACAAAGCTAACCAGAAGTTCCAGGAGGGTTAAATGGTTTTCTGCTTCTGTAACCAAAAGAAAATAGCTAATCTGGGATTCAAAAGCCAGGACCCAAGCTTTTAGCCCTGGTGGTCTGACTGTACAGCTTCCTTGGCCCTGTTCCACTTCCCTGCCCCACCTGTCTGTACCCCTCTAGGCCTGGACTGGCTGTAGAAGTCCTTACTAATAATTGCTTTTCTGAAAGTCAAGACACAACTTCCTTCTGAGGAATTACTTTGCATGTAGTTTGCATGTCAATCATGTAAAGCAGGATCTGAGAGGAAGCCCTGTCTCATCTCTAGATTCCTGCCCAGAAACATGCAGCTTTCCCCCAAAATCCTCAGCTAGATTTCAGAAACAGAGAGCTCATTCCTTTCCTACACCCCAAACCCATAAAACTCGAAAGCACCTATATCTCCCAGCCCTTGTGGGGTTGTCACTATCCTAGGGACCAAACAGAGCCTTAAAAGGCCACTAGTGTTTTGGTTTTGTTGTTGTTTTGGGTTTTGTTTGTTTTTTTTGGTCAGTCATGGGGCCTGAACTCTGGGCCTGGGCGCTGTCCCTCAGCAATTCAGCTCAAAGCGAGCGCTCTACCACTTGAGCCACAGCACCACTTCCAGCTTTTTCTGCTTATGTGGTGCTGAGGAATCAAACCCAGGCCCTCATGCATGCAAGGCAAGCGCTCTACCACTGAGCCACCTTCCCAGCCCCCTAGTTAGCTTATTATTAATTATTATTATTAGTTATTATTTTAATGGGCTTACTGTCTGAGCCATTTCACTGCGGCTCCTACCCATTGCCTAGAAGTCATGTAGATCTGAGTGTGTCCCCATCATCCCGCTCTCAAGAACCCTAGTGCTCCTACCTACACAGCTGTCCTCATCGCTGGTCATCCGGGTCTCCGGGGCCTGGGTCAGGAAAGCTGCCCCCTGGGCTCGGGCCTGCAGCCAGGAGCTGTGAGCAGCTATGTCCGTCAGCAGCACAGGAGTGTCCTCCTGGGCACATCTTGATGCAAAGCTTATGATCCCAACCTGAACCCAGCGTCCATTGGGCTCCTGGCACAGGACAGGGCCCCCGGAATCTCCCTGGAGCCAGGCAAGGGAGTCTAAGACAGATGCCCTCTGACTATAGCTCCCTGATTCTTCTCAGTGGCTGAGCCCCCATCCCAAGGCAAAGCCCTCCCCTCTCCCTTTCCTCCCAATCAGACCTGACAGGGTCCCAGCACCCCAGGTTGGGCACCCCCACATAGCATCCCTGGCCGAGCAGGGCTAGCCAGCAGCCGCTGGTGTAGCCGGTTGTAGAGACAGTTACATGTGGGGCGGCTGATGAGCCGCAGACGCAGATTCCGTAGTTTCCTGGGAGCTAACAAAAGAGATGGGGACTGAGGCTAGAGTCTAGACTTATAGCAGCAAAGGAAGGCAGGGCTAGGACAGTTGGAGCTCGAACTATGGCCTTAGGCAAGCGCAGTGCCTCTTGGGATTGCACTTACCATTGCTGGTGTCTTGATCCCACCCAGTAGCCCAGCAAGATGCTCCAAAGGGGAAGTGGTGGGCAGGCTGGGGCAAGCAGAGGGGTATGCGGGCTACAGGATGGGCGAGCAGGAGCAGAGCCAGGTCCGAGCCTTGGCTGTAGTGGTTATAAGCCTGGGGTAACTGTAAGGCAGCCACCCCTATCTCCTCAGCCCCTGGGCTCAGCCCCTCGCGCTGCAGAGAGCCCAGGACCACAGACCAGGAGTTCAGTTCTGTCGCTGCCTCCCTGGAATAGAAGGGCTGAGTGTCTGGGAAGCACAGGTAGGTAGAAGATGTGCAGATGTCAGTTCGTGGCTTTAAGCCCAGCTTTCCCCTGTTTCTTCGAACTTCAGCTTACTCATTCAGGACCATGAGAGGTTATTGTTACAATTAAACTTGAGACAAATTCTCAGTATATATATAGTATATGTGTGTGTGTGTTGGCCCTGTGGCTTGAACTTGGGGCCTGGCTGTTGATCTTGAGTTTTTTTACTCAAGGCTTGATCTACTTCTGGCTTTTTGCTGGTTAGTTGGAGGTAAGAGTCTCACAGACTTTCCTGCTTGAGCTGGCTTTGAATTACAATCCTCAGATCTCTCCCTCCTGACCAGCTAGGGTTACAGGTGTGAGCAACAGTGCCCAGAAAATGTTTGTTTTGTCGGTTGTGGAGTTTAAACTCAAGGCCTGGGCACTGTCCTTGAGCCTCTGTGCTCAAGACTAGCGCTCTACCACTTGAGCCACAGAGCCACTTCTGGTTTTTGAGTAGTTAATTGAAGAGAAGAGTCTCATGGGGAGTTTTCTGCCTGGGCTGGTTTCAAACCTCCATCCTCAGATCTCAGTCTCCTGAGTAGCTAGGATTATAAGTGTGAGCCATTGGTGCCTGGCAAATGGTACCTTTTTAACCTAGGGACTGGAAGCAGTCTTCTGGGACTTAGGGACAAATCCACCCATACAGGCTGAGACCCTGACCGATTGCAGCCATGACTCACTTTTCAAAGCAGTGGGCAGCAGTGAGGACCCAGGTTTCTGCCACCAAGGAGCCGCTACAGATGTGGATTCCCTGCTTTCTCACACTGGCCTGCCAGGGCCATTCGCCAGGCACTGTGTTGCCTTCCTGAGGCTCAGGGGGCCCAGGACCACGCTGCCCACAGACTACGGAGAGAGGTGTCATGTTGACAGCGGACCCCCCGCATCTCCCCACACCCTGACTCAACCTGGACCCAAGTAAGGCAGGCCCAGCATCCCCAGATCTTACCACGCTGGGCTGCTTGAAGACCTGAGAAGAGAGAGAAAGACTTAGGTGAGGTTCAGGAGCCCTGAGCTGCTGGGCACAGGCTTGGTAGAGGGGATGGGTTGATCCTTGCCTGTAACTGGCTACCTCACCAGTCCCTCCCAGAATGAAAATATTTATATGAGTTCGAGCAAGAGCTTTTATTGGAACTCATTCAGAGTGCACGCTCAGTAATTAGTTCTCCTCCCTGAACTGTGCTCAGCACTCTTTGGTCTAGGATACAGCTTGGGCCCTGGCCAGCCTTCCTCCAGGCTTCTGAACCCCTAACTGCTGCCCCCACTGCTGACTCAGGGAGGCCGCTTGTGTATGTGGAGAGCATTATTTTAATTGTCCTTTCAACCATGGAGGACTAAAGGATTAGAGGACTGCGTCATGTCCAAGGAGGGGAGGTCCCAAGAGGTGAGACTCACCCCACCCCTGAGGAAACAGTTCAGACTCCCCAGCTTCCCAAAGGCTGCCAGTGAGCTGACCAAAGGGTCTGGACCTTCCCTCTTCCCTGAGTACAGATCCACCGATCATTAGAGTGAGGGAGCGAAGAGTTGGGAAAGAGGAAAGAGAGACCCAGGCCAATGAGGCCCAGAACTTTCCTGAGGTCACTGGGGGTAACACACACACACACACAGTCCCCACACACAGCCAACACCCAACATGATCCACAGACAGACAGACCTACATACCAAGTTATAGGAGGGCCAAGAGCAGCCGTGAACTCTAGCGCTCCACTCTGCCTCCCTCCCACACACGGGTCCCTTACCTTCTATGAGGACCACAGCTCCCAGGATCAGCAGCCCTGGTCCCCAGCTCTGCTTCATGTTGCTCCTGGCCACTCTGCCACTTGTGTTCTTGTTCTCAAGAGGCCACCCACCTGGGTCTCCTTGGCTCCACCCCCGCTCCACCCCCAGCCTAGGAGTCACAGGTGTCACTGCTTCCCCTAGGCTAGAAGGGAGCCAAGCAGCTCTTAGCATCTGGGCTGTGGTTACATGACCCTGGACTGGCCACCACCCCTCTCTCGGCCTCCACAAGGGTCAGCATGCCATAGTTTGAATCTTACTATGTAAGTGACCTTGGACAGTTAACCTGTCTGTGCCTGGTCTTAGAAACTCAGAATGACTGCATGTAAAAATGCTTAGATGAGGGCTGGGAAGGTGGCTCAGTGGTAGAGCGCTTGCCTTGCATGCATGAGGCCCTGGGTTTGATTCCTCAGCACCACATAAGCAGAAAAAAA